CATGTGGAACATTACAACAACTAACAACAAAATGTACATTCTTTTTCAGTACACTTGGAATGTTTATAAAAATTGACTATATGTTAGACAATGAAGTAAGTGTAAATACATTTTATAGGGTTGAAGTCATGCAGTATATATTTTCTGATAACAAAAACTTTTCAAGGACATTACATGAAAGGAAGATAATGGACCATTTTCTTTTGTGGACATACGTGCGAAAATACTAGCCATATTAACAAACCAAAACTAAATACAGAAAAATATTAAAAAAAGAGAGAATCTCCCTATTTTGCCATCAGCTAATTAGCAACCTTCACCCCATCTGCTACCTTAATTCCCCTTTGCCATGTAATGTAACTTGTTCACAGATTCGAGAGAATAAGGTGAGCAGCCTTGGGAGTCCATTATTCTGCCTGCTACATACATCTTAACAAAGTTGTGTTATTCCAAAGATGGAAAGTTGCTTAACAAAAAAAATATCAATCAGTATAGTTTACTACATTAAAAGAATAAGAGTCACATGATTATCATAATAAATGTAGGAAAAACATTTGATATAATCAACATCAGTTGCTCCTTGTGTGTCAGTTAAGCAAGGACCAACAGACCGACACCCACGGCTCACAAACATCATTCATGACTTTTAAGTCTTAGCAAACTAAGACTAAAAAGGAACTACTTTAAGTCTATTGGAAGGTGTTGCAAAAACAATAACAACCTATTGCAGACATCTTGTGAAATGTTGAAGATTTTCCCTTTGAGTTCAGGAAAAGACTACAATGTTTGCTGTCATCACCTCTGTTTCACCTTATATTAAAGGTTCTAGCTAGTGTCCTAAGGCAAGAAAGAGAAAAGATAAAAGATGGATTAGAAAGGAAATAGTCACTATTCATATATGACATGATGTGTATACTTAAAAATCCAAAATAATTACCAATAGGTTACTAGAGATTATTAGGAAGTTCTCTGAATATAGGGCCAATATTCAGAAATCGATTTATTTTCTGTATAGGCACCAAAATAAAATTTAAATATATGCCATTTCCAGTATTATAAAAATCATTCACATACAAATAAATATAAGGATATATAAGACTTCTATTCAGAAAACTGTAAAACATTATTGAGAGATATTTAAAAATCCTGAAATAATTGGACCAATATGTTATTCATGAATAGAAAGAAACATATAAATGTTAGTACTTCCCAATATGAGCTATAGATTTAATACAGTTCCAATCTAATTCTCAGTAGGGGAGTGTGTGTGAGAGAGACTGGATAATCTGATTCTAAAAATTACATGGGAATACAAAAGGCCAAGAACAAACAGGACATTTATGAAGAACAAGGTAGGAGAGCTTGCCCTGTTGGAAATCAAGATTTACTATTAGGCCCCTCTAATTATTAATAAGATAGTATGTCATTAGATCCAGGTTAGACAGAACAGCGGAATAGTGTATAGCCCAAAATTGGATTTAAAAATAAATAGAAACTTGATTTATGAAAAAGTGCCACTGTGGAGCAATGGAGTAAGAATAATCTTTTAAATGAATGGTGCTGAAATAATACATAGGAAACTTGATGCTATATATATCACAGCATTCACAAAAATTAATTCCATGGCAATTACTGAGTAAAAGTGCAAGACAAAGTAATAAAGCTAAGAGAGAACATAGAATGTCACATTTATGATCTGGGTGTAGAAAAAGATTTCAAAAACTGCTTTCATACTAAACCTAAAAGGAAAAGATTGATCCATTCCATCATATTGATTGTAAGAACTTGTTAATTAAAAGATATCATTAAGAGAGTGAAATAACAAGTGACAGAGGAGAAGATATGTGTATCGTTTATAACCTTCAGATGGTTCATATTCAGTGTTTCTAAAAATCAGCCCTAATACAACAAATGGCAAATAGAAAATGGGTAAGAGCATTGAACAGGCACTTTTCAAGAGAAAAATCCAAAAGACCAATAAACAGGAAAAGCTGCTTAAATTCAGTAATTGGGGAAACATGAAGCTACAATAAGTTGCCCCAACATACCGTCAAGAACAGCTAGTATTTAGAAAATGACAGTATCAAGTTTTGTAAGGATGTGGAGCAGTAGCAGCCTCTTACATTGCTGAGAGGAGTATAAATTGGTGTAGTCACTTTTAGAACAGTTTGACATCGTTTTCTAAAGCTGAAGCTGTATATATCCTTAACTTGGCTATTTTCTTAAAGTATTAATATATTCACAACAGAAATGTGTACACTAAGACACATGTACATGAATGTTTAGCATAGTATACATAGTGGCCTTAAACTGGAAACACCTCATATCAACATTAGAATGAGTAAATAAAATGTAGTGTTGTCACAGTGGAATTTTCTACAGCAATGAAAACACCTGCATCTACACAAAGCAATATGAATGAATGTTATAAATACCATGTGAAACGAAAAAGGCAAGGTACATAATATGTATTTTATTATTCCATTTACACAAACTTCAAAAAGCAATCAAAACTATAGTGTTTAGAGTTGCTTGCATAAGTGGTGAAAAAAGGAAGTAAAACAAGAAAATACTTTAAAAGAGTAGAGATTACCTTGGGGAAAAGATAAGAAAGGATGATTGGGAAGAGGACCAAAGTAGAAGGGTTCTGGGCTCCAGGCAATGTTTTATTTCTTATAAGGGGTTACATGAGTGCTTAAATCATTGAGTTATATTATACAATTTTGTTTTATATGCTTTTTTCTGTATGTTTCATATTGCATAGTTTAAAAAGATTTAAAATGTAGAATGAATGCTGAACAAGTAGGTTAGAGGAGACAAATTTCACAGAAAAATTTGTTTTTAAAAGGATATTGATAGGTAATACTTCAGTGCAATTAGATTTATCCAAAAGGTCTCATTTAATAGTCGTTAAAGCTCAGTAATTAATAATAAATAACTTCCATCTGTAGTCATTGTTAACCAGTAGGTAGGCACAGTCAGTCCTTACTTTGCACAGTAGCATGGGACTATAAAAGTGACCATGCAAGTTGAAATTATGCAAAATGATTTTAATCAATGGGAAAAATTCTATCCTCTTTAAAAATTTTTGTCTAAACATTAAAAATTCTATTGTTGGTTAAAATATATAGGGAAATTAAAAAAAATTATTTGGCAGAATGTAATTTAAAACATAAAAACAATTAGAATTAGTGTTTTAATTCTTTGTGAAAAAATAATTATCAAGAGCAGTTTGAACAGTGCTTGCTACCTTGTGTAACTTAAAATAGCAGAGCTAACAGTGAGCATCTTTTCTGTGTCTGCCAAAATGTCACACTTCTGTCTTCTAAATTTGGATCAGCTTCCAATATTGTATTAAATATTAGTATCTTTTGCACTTTCAATGTGAAATAGCTCTGAGAGTTAAAGTTGTTTTGTGGTTTTTTGTTTTTGTTGTTTGTGGGTTTTTGTGGCTGGCATCACCTCCTGTCGAACATACTCTTTTTTTTTTTGTCACAACCACATTCCTCACTTACGTCTGTAAGTTTGTCTTCACTAAGTTCTACTGACTGCATATCTAGAGGCTCTCAAATAGTGGCAGTGACTGCATTCCCACAGTCTACTATATCTTCTATTATTCCACTTATATTGGCTTTGAATTTTATTTTCAGTGTTATCATTTTTTGGTTTTTTTGCTATGCTTTTATCTTTGTTGGCCAATTTCTGTTTCAACTATCCATTTAGTAAAATTTCACGAGTTTATCACTGGGAGGCAAGAAGGCAACATGGATACATGCTTTGCTGTCTGTGATGAAATGAGTAGCAAATGAGGCATGACCAATCACCAACCGACTTTTAAAGAAGTGATTATTGTCAATGATCATGATCTGCATCTCTTATTAACGTAGTGATTTGTGAACAAAAGTGCTAGCTACAAAATTTGTATTCATGCAGTTAAACTCACAGTTAATATACTGTGGTAAGTGGAATTTGAACCATGTTATTGTGGGACTGGTGTTACGATATTTAACTAAACTCTGGTAGTTGAAGTTTGTGTATATGGGAAACATGAAAAGTGGGGGCAACCTGTAATTCAAAGAAAGTTGAACTTTTTAATCAATTAAATAAAGATTTGATAGGTTTTGATGAAATTGGAATATTTATTCTTTGAACTATTGAACATCTGATGTATTTTGTGTGGAAATGTAAATTTGATACTACTCTCCCAGCTTCTTTAATCCTTTTAGGGCACTTACTGAGGACCTCTCACAGCAACTCTCTAAAAAAAAAATCCATTGTAGTAAGTACAAATAAGGAGAATAATTGTGATGGTGTTGTGAATTCACCATGTAGCAACTGACATTGAAAGCAAGTTTTTAAAAAATATTTTATATAATGTTGATATTCTAATAATTGAAAATGAAACAAAGTTAATAAATTAGTTTTGATTCTTTTAATGAGGTAATTCCATTTTTATTGTCTTCGTACTAGCAAATACAGTTCGTCCTTGAACAGAGTAGGTGTTAAGGGTATCAGCCCCCTGCACAGCTGAAAATTCATGTATCACTTTTGACTTCCCCAAAGCTTAACTACTAATAGTCTCCTGTTGATCAGCCTTACCAACAACCTAAATAATTGATTAGCACATTTGTATGTTATATGTATTGTATACTATATTCTTACCATAAAGTCAGCTGGAGAAAGAAAATGTTTTTAAGAAAATCAAAAGGAAGAGAAAAATATATTTACTATTCATTAAATGGAAGTGGATCATCATAAGGTCTTCATCCTTGTCCTCTTCGTGTTAAGTAGGCTGAAGAGAAGGAGGAAAGGGAGAGATTGGTCTTACTGTCTCAGGGGTGGCAGAGGTGGAAGAAAATCCACATGTAAGTGGGCCCAAGCAGTTCAGACCTGTGTTATTCAAGGGTCAACTGCATTTTGTTCTTTAATATGAAAGATAACGTCTTACTCTGTGTTGGTTGAAATTGAATATTGTTAATTTATTTTTTGATTTCCTACAGGTGAAGTGGCACAGGGGTTGATCTCAAGATGCCATTAGTGAAAAGAAACATCGATCCTAGGCATTTGTGCCACACAGCACTGCCTAGAGGCATTAAGAATGAACTGGAATGCGTAACCAATATTTCCTTGGCAAATATAATTAGACAACTAAGTAGCCTGAGTAAGTATATATCAATTAAAAACATTACAAACCAGAAGGTTATGCTTTAGAGTATTAAGAAGATGTGATTAAATGGGGGGGGGGGATTATTTGGTGAGAAGCAAACAAAATTATCCTGAAAAATTTAGTCATCTTAAGTAAAATGAATGAGTTTTGGAATAATTTCTTCTTGCACTGAACTTTTCTTCTGGGAAAGGGAAATAAAGAAAGAATCTTTAGGCACAGAATCACATGATGAATGAGAATTATTTAGATTGCCTTTTAACATATGATTTGATCTGTGGAAGATAGGACCAGAGTTGTAGTTTTGCTTGATTGTTATCACTATTTACTCTTTTTAGAGGCTTCAGCTATTTGTGTTTTGAAGCATTATATTAAACATATATTTAATTAGCCTAGTAAAATATTTTTATATTATCAGAGATCTAAGTGAAAGGTGTGGGGTCATTGCGAATCGAGTGAGTTGTCTGAGGCACATGAGAATATTAGTAAAGAATCTGATAATGCAGCATGCTGTGAAAACAGCACATGAACCCGGCCTCTGGCAGACAGAAGGCAAACATGCTGGCCAGAGAATAAAGGCCAATGGAAAAGGCAGGTGGAGAGAAGGAGACAGTGTGTTTCCATTTAGAGCTTCTTGGTTAAGAAATTAAACCAATTATTTTCCATTATTCTAAATTTAATTAGTTAAAAAAAATTTTTTTAAAGTCCAGTTTATCTTTTGAAGGATTAGCTTTTTAATAAGACATCAATATTTCATTTTAAAGATAAAACAAGGTGTTCTTGGCCTAGATATATTCTGCAGGTTTTCCTAGATTTATCTTGTCAGCCATATAGATTCTCCTGATAAGCAGGCTTCTCTTTCTTTTGTCCTCTCTTTTATAATTGAGTACTTAGCACAAGAGGTTGTTAATCTAATTTGTTTCAAGTGAGAAAGTTTGGGCATATACATCTGTAGTGAGAGAAACATAAAAAGTTACATTTGAATGTTCTTTGTGAGAGTACTACATATTTGCATTGTCTGTGAAATAGTCATAAGAATAAATAAAAGGCTATTTATTTGAATTTAAGTATATTCCTTGTTCCTTTTGGTGGTTATTTTTTTTAGGTTAGTTATCGGCATGAATGAATAAATATGAATCAATAAATATTGCATTGTTTACTTGCTTTTTCCTTAGGAATGCCATTATATTATAAATTGTACTTTTGAAACTGGTCAAAAGAAGAGTCTTATAGTTCCCAGATATTGCATTAATATATCATTAACCATATTGTTTAAAGATATTTTGCTGACTTTTGTAATCTAGCACTGATTGAGTCCAATATAACATGACTTCATATAAAATTTGTTTTACATGAATACATCAGCATGTTAATATTTAAATACATGTTAAGAGCATAGAAAGGACATTAGTAACTTTGTATAAACTATTTCTTAAAATTAAAATGGATTTTGGATCTAATACAGGCATCTTGTTTTAGGTATATATCTAATATAGAATTTAGAACTAACAATCATGATTAATTTGCAGTACTAATGCATGGATTATATATCTTAAAGATAAAAATTGAAGGAATTTTCAAGTCTAATATAGTCCATATAAGCGACATCTGTCAGCAGGCACATGGTCATGTAGTCAAACTCTGGAAAATATAAACACATTGTGAAAATATAACTGAATTAGGTTTTGAGTGCTTCGCATTTGGAATTAGAGACTATATTGGCATTTTCTAAGCAGTTTATAAAGATCCAAAAACAAAGAGAAAAATCTATAAAATATAGCAAGGTGTAACAATAGTTTACCGCCCTGAAATTAATTCCTCTGGCAGCTTTCCCACTTGACATAGTTGAGAACCTGGAATTAAATTTAAAAGGCCTCTCGATAGCCAGAATAAATAAACACATGCACATAAAACAACCAATTGATCCCTCTTTCAGAGCCTATTTAGTTTGATAGTTCAAATAGCTTTGATGATGTGATTTCCGAACATTTATGCTTCAGAGCAGTGGTCCCCAGCCTTTTTGGCACCTGAGACCAGTTTCATGGAAGACAGTTTTCCACGGACTGGGGTGTGGGGAGGATGGATTCAGGGTGATTCAAGTGCATTACATTTATTGTGCACTTAATTTCTATTACTACATTGTAATATACAATGAAATAATTATACAACTCACTATAATGCAGAGTCAATGAAAGCCCTGAACATGTTTTCCTGCAACTAGATGGTCCCATCTGGGGGTGATGTTAGATAGTGACACCTGAAGTGTGTTGCTTATGTCTGGTTTACTCCATAATCTCCTTTTGGTTGCTGTCACAGCAGAAAACCCTTCTTCACAAAGATAGTTGGAAATGGAAGCAGGCTTTTCAGTGCTTTTGTGGCAATCTCAGGATGTTCCGCCTTGACTTTTAATCCAGAATGTATAGAGACTTGAAGTTATCTCACACATGCTTTTAAGGCCACTGTCATTTGTGATCTCAAGCAGTTGATCCTCTTCTAGCACGGACAAAGTCAGTTCACCTGGGTTATTCACAAGTGGGTTGAGGATCCATTCCTTCCCAGTCTGGGGTCTTTTTGTGGTTGGGAAGTAATGCTCAAACTCTTTTGAAAGCTGAGATAGGTGATCATGCACCAGCTGGGAAAAAGAAGGCCCTGGCTCATTCTCTTTCAAATTTTCTGCTAATGTTTGAAACATGCCAAAAATCCCAATGTTCACTTGTTGCCCTCATAATTCCAGTTTGGCTTTGAATGCAGCTACTTTATCTGCCAACTTAAACACAGTTGTTCTCTCCTGCAGTGACAGATTGAGTTCATTAAGCAAATTGAATATGTCACACAAGTAAGTAAGTTTTAGGACCCATTCTGTGTCACTGAAATGTGCTGCTAGTGGTGACTGTTTTTCTAGAAGAAATTTCTAGAGTGACTCTCATAACTAATAAACTCTGGCCAGAGATCTACCTTTAGAAAGCCACCTCACTTCTGTGTATAAGAGAAGACGTGTGTGCTCTGCGTCCATCTTCTCACAGAGCTGTGCAAACAGATGTGAGTTAAGGGCATGTACTTTAATGTTGATCATTTTAATCACATGTTCCAAAATGTTTAGTTCAGGTGACATTTTTCAGCTAGCCAGCATTTCTCTATGGATGACACAGTGCATAGACTAACATTCAGATGCGAACTCTTTGACCCATGTAGGGAAACCAGAAAGCTGTCCAGTCATGGCAGCCACTCCATCAGTGCATATACCGACACAAAATGACCAATTCAGTTTTCCCAATATGTAATCATTCAAAGACTTGAATAGTTCTGCAGCTGTGGTGTTGGTTGGCAACAAAAGTGCACATAACACATCCTCCTGAAAAATATATTGCACAAAAACCGGTATTTTTGCCTGTTGTCAACATCAGTAGACTCATCAACCTGGATTGCATACCACAGTGACTCATTAATCCTCTCTAACAGTTGTGCCTCAGTATCCTGTGCTGTTTCATCTATTCATCTAGTTATGGTGCTAGCCAAAAGAGGAACATGTGCCACCTTTTGAACTGCAGCCTCCTAAAAGTTCACGGCAAATGTCCTTAATAGAAGGCAGGACAACTCTTCACCAGTAGTAAAGGGCTTCTTAGCCTTAGCAATGTGGTTAGCCACTAAGAATGATGCTCTCAGTGCAGACACATTTCATGAAGTAGTGGTGGCCTCCAATTCTTCATGTTGACATTTTTTTCTTTTGAAAAACTCCAAAGGCTTGTCTTTTAATGCAAGGTGCTTGGTCTCCATATGGCGAAGCAGTTTTGAAGGTTTCATGGCTTTGGTTACCACATGTATAAAGTGGGCTTGGAGAATATGAATCACCTATTGCCGTGAACCTGTGATTTAAGTAGGACTTGGTATTTTCTTTTAAATGCAGCTTTCATTTTGTTGGAAGTCTTAGCCTTTTGCTGTTTCATCAGTGGGTCTTTCCCCCTTTTCAAAGAAGCTCTCCAGCAACATTTGTTTTTTACTCATTTTTGTTCGGGTTAGCTTGTGGGCTTACCCAAACTGTGACTGAGACAAGCGCGCAGTGTGGGAAAGAGGTGAGGATGGAAGTGATAAATAGAATAATGGACAGGCCACGCGCAGACTAAAATAAGTGTCAGATTCTGACTTTAAAGCCTGCCACCAGGTGCAGCTGTACAATTGAAGTAAGATGCTCACTTGCCACTGTAAAGCCTGCCACCAGATGCAGATAATTGTCACTTGCAACTCAGCGATAGGGTTTCAATATGAGTCAGCAAGTGATTGATTTATTATCAATATGGTCTCTGTGCAGTCAAACCTCTCTGCTAATGATAATCTGAGTATTTTCAGCCACTCCCCAGTGCTAGCATCACTGCCTCAGCTCCACCTCAGATAATTAGGCATGAGATTCTCATAAGAAGTGTGCAACCTAGATCCTTCACACGTGCAGTTTACAGTAGGGTTCAGGCTCATGAGAAACTAATGCCACCACTGATATGACAAGAGGCAGAACTCAGGCGGTGATGCAAATAATGGGGAGCAGCTGTAAATACAGATAAAGCTTGGCTTGCTCACCTACCCCTCACCTCCTGCTGTGTGGCCCAGTTCTTAACAGGCTGTGGACTGGGGGTCGGGGACTGCAGCACTTTGACACCTTTGGTGCTGAACTCATGGGGTTCTGGGTAGCCAGGGGCATTGTCCAGTATCACAAGAACTTTAAAGGCAGTTCATCACTAGCAAGATACTTCCTCACTTCAGGGACAAAGCATCTATGGAACCAATCCAGAAAGAGGGTTCTCCTTGTCCAGGCCTTGTTGTTGTACAACCAAAAGACTGGCAGCTAGTGTTTATCTCTTGCCTTCAAGGCTTGGGGGTTAGCAGCTTTTACAGATAAGCGCAGTCTGCATCATAAACCCAATTGCATTTGCACAAAACAGTAGAGTTAGCCTATCCCTTCCTGCCTGAAATCCTGGGGCTTGATTTTCTTCCTTACTACTGAATGTGCTTTGTGGCCTTTCTTTTCCAGAATAGAGTAGTTTCACCTGCATTAAAAATCTACTCAAACCGGGCACGGTGGCTCACACCTGTAATCCTAGCACTCTGGGAAGCCGAGATGGCAGGATTGTTTGAGCTCAGGAGTTCCAGTCCAGCCTGAGCAAGAGTGAGACCCTGTCTCTACTAAAAATAGAAGGAAATTAGCTGGCCAACTAAAAATATATAGAAAAAATTAGCCAGGCATCGTGGAGCATGCCTGTAGACCCAGCTACTCAGGAGGCTGAGGCAGAAGGATCACTTGAGCCCAGGAGTTTGAGGTTGCTGTGAGTGAGGCTGACACCATGGCACTCTAGCCCGGGCAACAGAGTGAGACACTGTTTCAAAAAAAAAAAAAAAAACTATTCAGGCAGATATCCTTTCTCCTCAGTGATTTTCTTAATGGTGTCTAGGAACTCATCTGCTGCCACTTAGTTGACAGAAGCTGCTTCTCCTATTACCTTGACGTTTTTTAAAACCAAACCTCTTTCTAAAAGTATCAAACCATCCTTTGCTGGCATTAAATTCTCCAGCTTTAGATCCTCCACCTTCCTTTTGTTTTAAGTTGTCACATGATACCTTCTCTTTCCCCCTCCGAATCAGATTAGTCTATAGGTGTGCCTTTCTTATAGTAATCCTGCATCTACAAAAAGGCTGCATTTTCAATGAGATAAAAAGATATTTTACAAAAAAGGATAAGGTTTTTGTGCTTGCTGACATAGCTACAGAAACTGTTTCATGAATTTCCTTTTCTTTCTTTTTTTGTTACTAACAATGGTCCTTTCACTGGATTCATTTACCTTGAAATAGCAGGCAGTTGCAGTTATAGGCCTCCATCTAGGGGACATATTAAGCAATTCAGCTTTTTCTTATAATGATGTGACTTTTCTCTGCTTCTTGGGAACATTTCCAGCATCACTAGTGGCACTAGATATGGGTCCCATGGTATTATTCAAAGTTTGTGGTATTGCAGTAAACATAAGAAATATGCAAGAACCACAAGAGATTACTTTCTACTGTGATACTCAGTTTACTAGAGACGAACTGATCACACAGCATTTTAAGTGAATGCTTGCAACACTTGATTGCACTTGCTCACTGCAATCAACAGGAGGTGGCTATGAAATTATTATAGTAATATAGTTTGTATAATAGTTAATTTTATTCAATGTTGATTTAATACTACATCTTTACATTTGTTTACATTTTTCTTGACTGTCAGTGGCACTAAGTATAGTTTGTGTTCATGTGCATAAGTTTTGATAAATTTTAACTTTTTATAATAGATTCATGTATATTTTACGGTAGGAAATGATAGACTAGTATCTATGTATATTTTATGCATTCGTGACATATTTAACTTTTCTTCATTATTTGATATTTCTAGGCTATGTGACTCAACTGCAGGCTTTTCCAAATTGTTGCAAATTTCTAAAAAAAATTTCCAATATATTTATTGAAAAAAATCCCTATATAAGTGGACCAGCCCAGTTCAAACCTGTGTTGTTCAAGGGTCAACTATAGTTTCAAATAAATGCCAAATTCAACAGGATGCCACTTTTAAATGTTATATCATTTAGTGTTTATTTCTGATCACATTAAATTTTATGGTATATGTTTCATTTTTGCTTAGGTAAATATGCTGAAGATATATTTGGAGAATTATTCAATGAAGCACATAGTTTTTCCTTCAGAGTTAACTCATTGCAAGAACGTGTGGACCGTTTATCTGTTAGTGTTACACAGCTTGATCCTAAGGAAGAAGAATGTAAGTTTATTTATATTATGTTTTTGTCTACATATATATTTTAAGTTAGATGAGGATGAGATAAGTGATATATTTAAGAGCAGTATCTAAGCATGAATTTATTACAAATCTTTTTACTCATGTCCTTTGGTATATATGTTGTAATAAATTATCTGTAAATGCCATCAGCATGACTCTTATGGCTTTTCTTTCCTACTCCTTTTTATCTCCTCTTTTTGTACACTAAACAGCCTTTAATGTTTTGACATAAAGAAGACATTTGAACTATAGTTTTTTCCTCAATTTTCTTTCTCTTCTCTCCCTTTTAATTTATTTGTATAGTTTTATCTTAGAAATACAAATTATTTAAAAATTACCTAAAATCCTTAGGTTTGAGTCTGTAAGAATGTAACTCCTTTTAATATGCTTTTGTATGTTCATTTTGCTAAAGTCTGATTTGTTATTTAATTTAATGCTACTTTTTACTTTAAATGCACTTTTTAAAAACAAATTGCTCATATTTAGGGCAGAAATATTCTATACCAAGTTATTGAATCAAGAGTATCAGATAAAAAAGCCATACTATGGGGTAAATAATAGCGGAAACTTAGTGGCAAAGCACATATTATCCCTAACAGAATACATTGCTGATGTTTCACAAATGCCTCTGATTTTTTTTTTTTTGAGACAGAGTCTCGCTTTGTTGTCCAGAGTGAGTGCCATGGCGTCAGCCTAGCTCACAGCAACCTCAAACTCCTGGGCTCAAGTGATCCTCCTGCCTCAGCCTCCTGAGTAACTGGGACTACAGGCATGCGCCACCATGCCCGGCTAATTTTTTGTATATATTTTTAGTTGGCCAATTAATTTCTTTCCATTTATAGTAGAGACGGGGTCTCGCTCTTGCTCAGGGTGGTTTCGAACTCCTGAACTCGAGCAATCCGCCCGCCTCGGCCTCCCAAGAGCTAGGATTACAGGCGTGAGCCACTGCGCCCAGCTTGATTTTTTTTTTTTTAACAAAAAGAAATGAAACAACAAAGACATTATTTTCACTTATCTGCAATAGAGAATGTTTAATGTAAATTTCTTATAACCTTCTCTACAAAATATTTTTAGTTGAATAACTTTTAGTATAAATACAAATTATATAATAGACCTAAACTTGAATAATAAAATATTAAGGATATCACTGGAAACAAATTAAATAATATAATGATGGATAGATGTCTTAGTGATTGAACCATTTACTTTTGAAATAATCTGATTTAATGTATAAATAAGGAGAGGCAAATACTTACCATGCTAAGTTTCTATGGCTTGGAAAGATACAAACTTACAGCTCTGGATGCAAGAAAAAAAACCAGTACTTTAAAAAAAAATTAAAACTTTATTAAGATGTATTTCACACCCTACCTTGCAATTTGTCCACCATCTAAAGTTGAAGTGTGCAATTCATTGTTTTTTAGCATATTCAATGTTACCATAATAAGTCTTAGAATATTTTTATCACTCCAAGAAGAAGCCCTGTACTCATTAGCAGTCATTGTCCATTTCACTTTCCCCTCAGCCCCAAGCAGTCACTAGACTATTTTCTATCTGTATGGATTTGCCTATTCTGGACATTTCATATGAATGAATATACATACACTATATGGTCTTTTGTGACTGGCTCTTTCACTTAACATTATGTTTTTAAGGTTCATTCATGTTGTAACATGTATTGCCTCATTGCTCCACCTGCACCATAGGCCCAAACATTCACATTGAGTGTATTTTGCTTTTTTACTTATGAAGATGATAGAGCTATTATTTTGGGGAGAAAAATAATTGAAGAATTGTTATGATTGTTCAGTGCTGACCTTGTATGGTATAAAGCATTTGTGTACTTAGGCCATATTAGATGTATAAGAAATTACCTAATTTTTTAATATCAAGAAATCACTGTAAGAGTTAAGAATGCAGTATTTTGGTACATTTCTCATTTTAACATAATGCACAGTCCAAAAGAAAATGAGTAAATGAAGTTATTTTTAAAGTATATATGTGATGAGGTTGTGCTAGTTACTGGGAATACAATGTATAAGACAGTCTCAGTCTTCAAGAACTTATAGTTAGGTAGAAATCCTTATAGTACAGATAAAAGGTAAGTAAAGGAGAGAATAATATAGATTGCCCACTACTTGAAAAAATTTTCTGTATAGTAAAATTTGTTTTAAATTTATAATACAAGTGTAATATTTATAGTACATATAGCATAGAGGTCAGCAGTGTGTTTAGCCTGGAATGCCACTAATAAATAATTCCTTTCAGAGTTATTGGTGTAAGCTAAAAAGAAGGAATAAAGGGAGATGGGGAACAAAAAGATTATAGAACAAGAGAATCTAAGTTGGTGGGGGTCCAGGGTGGCAGGTAGAGAAAAGAAAAGGTGTATTTCATGAGAAATGTAGGTATGCTTCAGGTATCACTGGGATCTTAAGTGACTTAGAAGTCAAATGTTGTATTAAAACCCATCTGATTAGCCGGGCGCGGTGGCTCACGCCTGTAATCCTAGCACTCTGGGAGGCTGAGGCGGGCGGATTGCTCGAGGTCAGGAGTTCGAAACCAGCCTGAGCAAGAGCGAGACCCCGTCTCTACTATAAATAGAAAGAAATTAATTGGCCAACTAATATATATATAAAACTAGCGGGCATGGTGGGGCATTCCTGTAGTCCCAGCCCCTCGGGAGGCTGAGGCAGCAGGATTGCTTGAGCCCAGGAGTTTGAGGTTGCTGTGAGCTAGGCTGACGCCACGGCACTCACTCTAGCCTGGGCAACAAGCGAGACTCTGTCTCAAAAAAAAAAAACAAAAACCATCTGATTGGAAAAATTAGGCACAGAATGATTGGGTTAAATTTAACAATAGAACATTTAAAATATTGTTTCTAGAGGATAAGCCATTAAGGTCACAGCCTCTTGAGCCATGCTGACTTTAAAACAAATGCAGTATATTAATTTGTCCTTCTATTAAATCATCTTAATAAAATGAATTCTTGATTTTTGTTTTAGTGTCTTTGCAAGATATAACAATGAGAAAAGCTTTCCGAAGTTCTACAATTCAAGATCAGCAGCTTTTTGATCGCAAGACTTTGCCTATTCCATTACAGGAGACATATGATGTTTGTGAACAGCCTCCACCTCTCAATATACTCACTCCTTATAGGTCAGTAAGCTAATAAATAAGAGGGCCTGTTATTTATCTCAGACTTATTATTTAAATGCTAAATCCCCAAACATTTTTTATCTTATTGTACTTATAGCCAACACACAGAGTCCTTCCTATCCACTATCTTGAGAAAACCTTTGCTTTATTCACTAGATGAGTTCCTAAGTTTCTGGCATACAAAAGTCAAGACCTATTCAAGGGAATTGTTTTGACATGTATTATTAAGAAAAGCCACTGGCAAACTTAATGTGAACAGATAGAGAGTTGTTATTGTCTTTTTAGTTTAATTTTTAATCATATAGAAAAGTTAAAAAGAGGTTACAATTCTACCCTACTAACAAAATGAATATAATTTTTGCTTATTTTGTCTACTTTTGATCTGTATACATTAATGTCTTACAGTATGAATATGTAGTATCTGTTTTAAAAATGTTTTTTAATATTTAAAATAAATTCTAGAATTAGCCTTTCTTTGGAGCCTTTTCATAGGATTTATTAAGTGGGCAATTTGAGATGTGCAACACATATCCTGAACAAAATAATATTCAAATAGTTATTTGAAATTGTAAGTCATTATGCAGGTCATTGGATATAAATGTGACTGTTAGAATGACTATTAATTAGGTGATATCTTTTGGATTTAGTAAGATAATGAGTAAATTAGAGTATTGGCAGAAACTCTGTAAACTTTCTCTATTCTAAATGATGTTACTGTCTTATCAGCCTTTTATATTTGGTGGAACTATTTGTGATTATTGGAATTTCCCAAAGGACTTTTAGAAAATTTGGTATTCTGCAGAAGTTAGGAATGAAAATTGCCCAGCTGTACTTTAAAGTATTAGTACCAACTCAGAAAAGTATTTGGTTTTCCATTTTTCTTAGTTTCGTTTCTGATTTGGATGAAATTTTCTATTGGTGCAATATTCTAATTTTGGCTATATTTTAACATACCATATTTCATTACTGTAAGAGAATAAACATTTTAGTAAAAGTCTATTCCGGTTGCCTCTTTAAGTCTTACTAATGTGTATTTTAATTGATATTTTATATTTCAGAGATGATGGTAAAGAAGGTTTGAAGTTTTATACCAATCCTTCATATTTCTTCGATCTGTGGAAAGAAAAAATGTTGCAAGATACAGAGGATAAGAGGAAGGAAAAGAGGAAACAAAAGGTATTACAAGAGGTTCAGAAAATTGAAGTTTTTTGGTATATTTGTTTTTTGTTGCATATATGGAACTATACTAGTCCCATACTTTGTTTGACATTTTATTTTACTGGATTCATATAATCAAATACTGAAGTCTTTATTACTACACAGAAAGAACACAGCCTAATGGGGAGCAGATGAGCAATTAGATTATTAGAGTATGGTATAATAAGTGCCATAGCAGAGGTTTGCATGGAGGGTTTAGGTGGCACAAAATAGCAACTGTTTAAGCCAGCAAACAGGGTCAATAAACACTTCCAACAAAACTTATTAATGAACATTGAAGAACAGATAGGAATTACATAGACCAGGGAAGAGAATGACATTCTGGTAAGGAGGAACAAAGGAACATTAGTGTTTAGATATAGGTAATGTAGATTAAACTACTATTTTCTTGCCACAGTATATCCTTAATATTTCTTAAATGTTTTGGAAAGGTTATTGTATTCTCACGAAATCCCTAGTATCTTTCTTCTGTTATCATTCTCTACTTTCTAATAAAATTCACTTGGATATGCTTTATTTAATGTTAATGATGATTGAAAATATAGAAGGAGGAAGCAAAGTTGAGTTTAGGCTGAATTATGAGGGAGGCAGAGTCTGTTTTCATCAACCCTCTGTTTCTCCTATAGTTATCTCTACTTTTCTCAATTCCTAAAATGCCCTTCTTTTATCATCTTCTGTGCTATGAGATACCCAAGCACTCTAGCTAGCAAACTGCAAATTTGCAAACTGCTGATTTGCAAGCCAGATTATGCCTGCAGGCAGTGTTTTGTCTGCCGTCAAATTTTTTAACTGGAATTCCTTAGATGGACATGTCTATCTAGTTCACTGCATGCCCCATCTTACACCTGACTGGCTTTATTCATGTATGTTATCTGCTTGGGCTCTTTGGGTATTCAAATTTGTTATATCTACTCTAGATCTTTCTATGCTTTCTCCCCCAATTTGAGTCACTTTTTGTTTTCTGTTGAGAGACACAATTATTATGGGTTAATTGAATAATTGGATTTTTATGATATGTTTTCTAGCTAATCAGATAACATAACCTTAGTAAATTTTCATGTTTTGGTTAGAGTTAGTGCCATTTGTGGTAGAAATTTCAAACCCATAGATAGGGAAAGAAGGGTTGGTGAATTTTTTTTCATCTGAAATGACTTTCTGACCTCTAGTTTTATTATTTAGGCATATTATTTTGTATCTGATATATCAGTTCAAAGTAGGGATTCAAAAACATGACAAGAAACTGGGATTATAGCACACTAGCTAAGATTTAACTCTGAATGTACACATGAACTGTCTTGGTATTACTTGTACTATACTATGATGACAATGTTGATATTAAAATTTTATTTTGATTATTGTAACCTCTTTTTAAAAATTAGAACTTCAGCATTTGGCTTTATTTCAATACATCTGTTATAGCAGAAAAATCTAGATCGTCCTCATGAACCAGAAAAAGTGCCAAGAGCACCTCATGACAGGCGGAGAGAATGGCAGAAGCTGGCCCAAGGTCCAGAGCTGGCTGAAGATGATGCTAATCTGTTACATAAGCATATTGAAGTTGCTAATGGCCCAGCCTCTCACTTTGAAACAAGGTTTCTTTTCTTTTTTTTGTCTTTTAAAAAAATTAATGGATAAAACATTGACTTTATTTATAATACCTGTATTTCTAAGTCTTAAGTCCTAAACTGTTGAACTGGCAGACCCTGTTATAGTGATGATTTAAAAACCCCAACCACTGTGAGCCTACGAAAGTCTTGGGTAGGAGATTTTTATACCTGCACCTCAGTTTTGTCATCTGTAGAAAGAGGTGGTTGGAATAGATAATCTTTAGCATTGTTTTAACTTTCAGAAATCTCAACTCCCTCTCAATATTTCAGGCAAAGTCTGCTAGAATTTCATAATAGAGGAGCAAGGTCTGGAATTTTTTTTGAGGTATTATTAATTTGTTTTATGTAAAATAGGAGTTGAGAAGGGGTTCTATTTTGTTCCTTTTTCTTTCCCCTGACTTACTTTCTTTACCACATCTCTCACCTTATATGTATCAGGACTTTCAAATAAAATTACTCATCCCCTTTTGCAAAAATACAGAATAGGTCCTTTTCCTTTCTCAGTGGCCAGGAATCCTATCTAAGTAGCATGCCACCACAGCAAACAATCTCCCTGTGAAGACGTTTATTTGGGTATAGTCTTAGTTATTTTGAATAGAAAAGAGCTTAAGGTTTTCTTTTGAATAATACATGTCATTTGTCAGGCCATAAGTGTGAAATATCCTGACCTATTTTAGGAAAAATATATATCTGAGAGGTACTATTTATCTATAGTACTGAAAGAAAAAAAACTGAAAGTATTGAGATTTTAAAAAATTAGTAATTTGTAGTTAAGCATCTATTTCTACTGCAGTTGAGTAATTAAGGTATTTATCTGACCTACTAGTGGTAAATACAATAATTTCTGACTTATTCTGTGCACATCTATTAAACCTAACTTCATCCTCAGAATGCATTTCAGTAAATAAATATTTATAAACCTTCACATGCTCAAAATGTCTGAAGTTTTGCTTAAATCTAAGTTACATGTTGCTATTTTGCTCAGCTATTTTCTGAGTACCCTAGCATTTTTGAAAACACCAAAAGGACAGAAACAATGTAGCTAGGTAACGATGTGGTGCTAGTATCAGGGAGGCCTTTTTCCCTGGTGCAAGACTTATGGAAGGCATTTATGTTAGCGAGCAACAAGGTATCCTAGTAGTAGAAAATTCCAGTTTTCATAGCCTACCTTTCTGTCACTGGCACCTTCTTGTAAAGATAACAATGAAATAGAGGCAGATAGCTTTGAACACAATTTGCTACAAGTTAATTATTTTCTTGTTTGTAAGACTTTTATGTAATACTTTTCATCCTTGTGAATTGACTTAGTATTCTATCATAAAATAATAAAATAACTGATGGTCATCATAATAAACCTAAATTAGCAAGTAAAAGTGCATTGTGAATAGCATTCTTTGTTTTAAAATCAGGGTTAATGTAATACATATCTGAAAAATTTCTTAAAAATCATTAAAATATTGGCATTCAACAGATAAATTTTAAATATTATCTCCTGTAGAACACTCTGTTTCTCCAATAATTCAACAAAAATACACTGATACCGTATGTTTCTTTTAGACCTCAGACATACGTGGATCATATGGATGGATCTTATTCACTTTCTGCCTTGCCATTTAGTCAGATGAGTGAGCTTCTGACTAGAGCTGAGGAAAGGGTATTAGTCAGACCACATGAACCACCTCCACCTCCGCCGATGCATGGAGCAGGAGATGCGAAACCCATACCCACCTGTATCAGGTATGTTGGGACAAGCATGTGATCTGAGAGGTCAGTAATTTTTTCCTTTAAAAGACCAGATAGTAAATAGTTTTGGCTTTCTGGGCATTTAGTGTCTGTCTCAGGTACTCAATTCTGCCATTGTTCAATGAAAGCAGCCATAAACTGTACATAAATGAATGTGTCTGTGTTTCAGTAAAATTGTATTTATAAAAACAAGGAGCAGGTCCGATTTGACCTATGGGATGTAACTTGCCATCCTCTGACTAGAGCTGACACATTCTTCTGGGAAAGTTTGGCTAATAACAATTTACTTTAAAGTGTGTTTCATTTTATTATATAGCTTTGTTATCAAGCTTATGTGCATTGTAATAAGAAAAATTAAGAATGTTTGGAATGTGTTAAGAGTCTGACAAATGATACCCAAAGATGTGTGGTTATGGGTGTTAATTTGATAATTAAGAAAAATACTTTAAGAATTTCAGAGAGAATTGGCAGATGCTTGTAATCTTTCAGTAAAACTATTCCAAAACTTAATTGTATCAGTTATCCAAATCACAAATTTTCAATAGAGAAATATTCTCTATTGGAAAAATTTTCTAATAGAGATCAAATTTACAATTTTCAGTTAAAAAAAACTAGCCTCTGTCACTAACTCATTTGATATCTCATCTTCAGGAAGAAAGAGAGCTGTAAATTTCCTTTGTGGTTTGTAGTTAGTTGTCATTGACTGAACTAAAAGGACATATGATGACTCTTAACAGTTTTAGTATAAATACAGCATTGTATTGGCCACAAGTATTGCAATCTGATAACAATACGAGTCATTACATAGACTCATATTACAGTGTATAAATTAGCATTTGTTTATCAAAGTAAGCATTAAATGAGTGATCATGAAAGTTGCATGAGAGGATGAGATTGTTTAGAATATTACAAACCAAAGTACCACTTATTAATTTTTTTATTGATGTACTTTTAGTTCTCATTTCTTTCTAAACATTGTTGAAGAATTTAAATTTCTGTAGGAGCATGTTAATGCATCTACTGTGATTTAGTTACTGATAGTCATTTATAGTTTATGTGGTTAGATTTTTCTCTTCAGGTTTTTCTCTTTTAATAACTTGCTAGGATCTCTTTTATCATTTCAGTTCTGCTACAGGTTTGATAGAAAATCGCCCTCAGTCACCAGCTACAGGCAGAACACCTGTGTTTGTGAGCCCCACTCCCCCACCTCCTCCACCACCTCTTCCATCTGCCTTGTCAACTTCCTCATTAAGAGCTTCAATGACTTCAACTCCTCCCCCACCAGTACCTCCCCCACCTCCACCTCCAACCACTGCTTTGCAAGCTCCAGCAGTACCACCACCTCCAGCTCCTCTTCAGATTGCCCCTGGAGTTCTTCACCCAGCTCCTCCTCCAATTGCACCTCCTCTAGTACAGCCCTCTCCACCAGTAGCTAGAGCTGCCCCAGTATGTGAGACTGTACCAGTTCATCCACTCCCACAAGGTGAAGTTCAGGGGCTGCCTCCACCCCCACCACCGCCTCCTCTGCCTCCACCTGGCATTCGACCATCATCACCTGTCACAGTTGCAGCTCTTGCTCATCCTCCCTCTGGGCTACATCCAACTCCATCCACTGCCCCAGGTCCCCATGTTCCATTAATGCCTCCATCTCCTCCATCACAAGTTATACCTGCTTCTGAGCCAAAGCGTCATCCATCAACCCTACCTGTAATCAGTGATGCCAGGAGTGTACTACTGGAAGCAATACGGAAAGGTAATTTTCTCAGAGCTATGAAAAACATTACTATGTTAGCACTGGAAACTTTCTAAATATTTAAGACAGTAATGTGTCCTTCATTTATAAAATTTTAGGTGATCATGTTTTTGTACAAATGGCCTTTAGAAAGTAAAGCTATGTCCAACTTATATTTTAAGTCATTTTCAAGAAAATATATCACATTTAATTATTTAATTTTCATACTTCATAGGAATTCTTAAAATGTTTGAGAAATTTAAAATCTCAGAGTTAAATGTTATAGAAAATTTAATTAAAACTCTTTGTGCTTAATATGTGTATTAACTCCTTTAAAATAGCATTTTCTTCATTCTTAAGGCTGTTTATTTGGGTTATCAGTGACACTTGCTCTACCAGATGTCTTTAAAGGAGTAAGTTTCCTTCCTTTGTAACAAAGGAAAGGCTTCTCATATTCATTTATTTATGCAGTCAACATTTCCTAAGCAACTACTATACACCAGACATAAAGAGAATAGAATAATAATAGTGCCTTTCCCTCAAGCGTGGAGGATAATGAGACCACAGAAAATATATTCAACAGTGTTTATTTGACCAGAGAGGTGATAGAAGAATTGTATTACCTGATTTAATTTGTAGGGGGTGGTGAGCAGGGAGGTACAGTAGACCATGACAGATAAATAAATTGTAGACATCCATTGGGATATCTGGTAGGTTTAATCAACTAATATCATAGATGATAACATAATGAATGATCTAATGCCTCTCTACATATGATTCCCTCAAATTCTTTTTAAATCTTTTTATTTCTCTATTAGTATTTCTCATGTGTGTTTGGTTTTATTCCAGAAAGAGTAATAATATCTGGCACTTAATATTTCATTTTTAAAATGAATGTTTTGGATTTGCCGTATCAGGTATTCAGCTACGCAAAGTAGAAGAGCAGCGTGAACAGGAAGCTAAACATGAACGCATTGAAAACGATGTTGCTACCATTCTGTCTCGCCGTATTGCTGTGGAATATAGTGATTCAGAAGATGATTCAGAATTTGATGAAGTAGATTGGTTGGAGTAAGAAAAATACATTGATAAATATTATAAAACTGAATGCAGATGTCCTTTGTGGTGCTTGTTCTTTGAAAATGTTTGGTCATTCTAGTGTTTTTGCTTTCTTTTCCTTATAAATAACCCTTCCATAATTTTTTATTTCTAAGAAAAACATTAGCATAATTTCAAACTAAATGTTTTACAGTGGCTTATTTTTTTCCCTGAAAAGACATAATTTGGTCAAATAAACCACTTAAGTATTAAGCATGGACAGCTGTTGTTAGAGTAGCAGATTCAGTTTTTTGATATATCTTAATTGTGCACTTCGTGAATTTTAATTTAAAGAAAGCGACTGAGATTGAAATCTTGAGGGCAGCTGTATCTATTAATGAGCCTTATTCAATTTCCTGATGTTTTAAAAGAAGAAACACTGCCTTGATTATATGAATCCACTCAGAAAGTACATTTAGCTTGTAGTGTTGAATTCTCTTAAAGGAATGCTTGAATTTTTTTTAATTATTGTTTTATGGTTTTTTAAATACTTGCCTTATTTGAATGTTTAGCAGTACCCCCTTCCCACTTATATATTGTGTGATACAATTTTGCTTGCCTATAGGAGTTTAAAAATCTTCCATGTGAAATACTCTGACTTAAACATACATGTAACTTACATAACTGTTAAGAATAACAGTTTGATTTAATAAATGGTTCATTTTAAAAGTTCATGGGTGTTGCTCTTTGAATAAAACTATTTATGATAGCTTATCAAATATTATAAAGTAGGCTCTAGGTAGTAAAGGAAAATTTAGCTTAAGCTATATAATTTCCTTTTAATTTTACAGATTCATTGTCTAATATGTAAGGTAGCTTTTATGTCATTTTTTTCTATGGTCACAAAATTTGTATTTCTCAACTCCTTGTCTTGAAATCTCAACTTGCCATCTATTTTCAGCACACCTTGATTTCAGTTTAGCAGTGTTCTTGAAATTAAATTTTGTAATGGTAAAATGAGATAATGTTTGCATAGTCCAGATTCAGGGGTGAAGGGGAAACACCGTTACTATCAGATTATTTAAAGAAAAGACTAAATGAGATTTGGGTACATTGTAAATGACGGCGGTCTTCAGCCATGCCTGTCTACCCCTTTTGCAATACAATTTCCGGTTCTTGCTATCAACAAAGTGGGTTCTGTTCCTATACTCTTGAACCTGGGTGTCCCTGAGACTTGCTTTGGCCAATAGCATGTGGCAAAAGTGACATTGTGCCAGTTCTAAGCCTAGGCCTCAAGAGGCCTTGTAAGCTTCAGTACTTTCTCTCTCTGTCTCTCTGTCTGTCTCAACCCCACTTCTGCCATGGGAATGAGCCTAGGCTAGCCTACTGAAGATCAGAAATCTCATAGAGAGCTATTCCAGATGAGGCCATCTTAGGCCAGCGAAGCCCAAGCTCACCTGTTGGCTGACTGTAGACCGATGAGCATGCCTGGCCAATATTAGCCCAGCTCAGTCCACTAACCCATAAATTCATCAGCAAAAATGAATGGTTATTGTCTTATACCAAAGTTTTGAGGTATGTTATTTTCTGCAGCATTATCGTGGCAATTGATAGTTAATATATGAGGTCACTTGATAACTTGATAATTTAGGGGATATTTAGGCATACAGCTAATCTATAATCTTTGTAGAATAGGAATAATGAACAAAGTTCAATTGTTGCAATTCTGTTTGGACATAAGCATTTCCTGATGACATTAATAAACACAAGATTTGATTCGCTTTTTTGGGTAGCTTAGCTTAGAGCAAGAGATTAGATAGCCATTTGGGGTTCTTTTCTAAACCTCATGAAAATATATATTGTCAAATTTAACTCAAGAAAGTATGGCCCAATTTAAAGTCTGTGTTCCTAAGTGTGCTCTGGTCAAAAGGCAGCAACTAGTATATATTTTTTATGAAGTTCGACTGTGGTCAGATAACTAAAACATAACAATACTGGTGTTGAAGCAGTTAAGAGGGATACAGAAGGAAATTCACGAAGATTTCTTAGTAATAGAAGTAGACATGTTAATCAGTAAAACCCAGCAGTAGATATCCTTAATAGTTTGATAGATTTTTTTTTTATTTTTCAGAACATTCCCGGAAGATAAGAAAATAAATACCTGCAGACTGACAAAGCCAAATATGTCGTGTCCATTTTAAAATCAAAATAACCTTTTACCCTAAATATTCATCTTAACTTGCTGAGAGACTTTTGGAACAGATCAGTCAATGGTCAGTTTTAATACCCTAAGAAGAATGAAAGTTACTGGGTAGTGAATGATTGTCTTCTTATTGAATTATTTTACTATTCAACAAGATCATATACAAGCAGAGTCAGAAAAAATGAATTGTATACCATGGGGATACAATTTGCGTCATTTGGTTGAGGTTACCCATTTACCTGCATATTACCAAATCCAGTGAATGCTTTTTAGTCCTTAATTCATTTAATCTTTATTCTGTATTTATTCTCCCTCCTTGAAACTTCCAATCCTTTTGACCTTTGTGACACTGTTTCTTCCTCTTCTCTTTCCCCCATAATGGTGAAGGAGGGGGAAATAGCTAGCAGCAGTGGTGTTAGGGATGAAATGCAGTTACTGTGGCAGGGAAGGGAGTTTCTCTGTATCTTTTCCTAAGTAAGAGATATTTGTAAGCTTCAGATTTACAAGACATTTTAAGCTATCACCATTGCTTTTTATAACTTATTGGGGCAGACGAGATGACTTCTAAGGCATTTTCATGTTATAAATGTTTATTAAAAGATAAATAAGAAAAATCTTCATTTGGGTTGAATTCTGTAAATTATGAAACACCTTGCTCTATTCCACTTTTAGAAAGCCCTACCCTTTCTTTAATAACCACCTCACATTTGTATTTTCATGAAGTCTTCTCTGATTACCACAGCCGGAGTTCATGTGCCTTTTGAATTTCTATAATTCTCTTATTATAAGCTTTCCTCAAATGATACTCATAACATTTTGCATCACAGTTATTACTTATTTGAGCTTGCCAAATAGATTATTCACAAGACAGCAGGAGTGTTGTCTTAAACAAACAACTCACAACATCTCTTCTGATAATCAGGTTTAGAAATCCCCACCCTCCCTTTCTTTTGTCCACTAGGACTCTTAAAATTATTTCTTCCTAGGCACTGCTCCTGTTTAAAATTTCTTTCTCCACTAATTTCAGTAGCATAGTTGATGTAAAATTATTCCTAATTTCATCAAAATTTGGTATGTGTGTATTTTAATAAATGGAAAGTATAGGAATGACTCTTTTAGCCGAAGGTTAAAATTATTAGTATTTCTGAAGCCACTTTTTAAGGCAGAGAGCAAAATTGATCAATTGTTTTGATTTAATGGGAATTCTCATGAATTACTTTCAAAACACAGCTTGAAATTTGCCCTTAGTAAATATCCCACTGCTGTTTATTTTTTTCGTTTTTATTTCACTACATTTGTCTTAACCCCAGCTTTTTTAACCACTTCCCTAAACTGAAACAACTATAAAATAAATTATTTAAAGCTCCTAAGTAGTTCAAGAATTCATTTTAGAATCTATTATCTCCGTAATATCCACTTAGTAAAAAAAATGCAAATAAGCCAATGCAAGATATTAATCATGCAATATCAGGGTTTATAGCTTTGCCATGTTGAACTAATGAAAAGGAATATCAAATTATGATATTTATAAATTGTGCCATATAACTTATAATTAATTAAAGTCATCTTACTGAAGCCAAACAGAATGCATAGGATCCTTGTAATACAGAGAATACATTTTTTCCTCCCTTATTCATTGCTGTACTAAGAACAAATTTATTTGTGTTCTCTAGAATGCATCAGTAATCTCTGTTGCTTTTCAAGCCCAACAACCAGCTCTGAATAAAGAGTGAATACCAGCCTTGAATGAACGTTTCAGATACTTTTTTAAAAGGCTAGTCATCAATACCTTTTTATTATTGTAAGGCCAGCTGCTCTGACTTTTTTTCCTTTAGAAAAAAAAAATTAAACACAACTGAACATGTATTGAAGTCATCTTTCTCAGTATATTTATAGTTTCTTCTCTTTTCTGTTTATTTGTAATGATTTCCAATATTTTATATTAATAGTATCTAGATAAGTGTGATCCTTGTGTATATGTGTATGTGTGTGTGTTACACTCAAAGGCTTTTTGATAAAAAAAATTTTTTGTTTTTGAGACAGTTTCGCTTTGTTGCCCAGGCTGGAGTGAGTGCCGTGGCATCAGCCTAACTCACAGCAACCTCAAACTCCTGGGCTCAAGCAATCCTGCTGCCTCAGCCTCCCGAGTAGCTGGGACTACAGGCATGTGCTACCATGCCTGGCTAATTTTTTCTGTATATATTAGTTGGCCAATTATTTTCTTTCTATTTATAGTAGAGACGGGGTCTCGCTCTTGCTCAGGCTGGTTTCGAACTCCTGACCTCGAGCAATCTGCCCGCCTCAGCCTCCCAGAGTACTATGATTACAGGCGTGAGCCACTGCGCCTGGCCTTGATAAATTTCTTATTAATCTCCCCTGCCTTTAGGTTAGCTTTTCCATACTACTCTTTTTATATAGAGCACGGATGTCACCCAGAGTAATAAAATTCCCCATCCACCTTCTGACCTGGAAACAATATAAAAGATACAAAAGCCTTTAAATCACAATATGTCTTCCACTGCAACTTCATTCTTACCTACAAAAGCCATGAAGTGTTGCACTTCTAACTTTAATGAAAATCTATAGGAACTATTTATGTAGGCCTTTCTGGATAAAGGAGCACATCTCCTATTATTAATGGTTTATTTTTATATTTCTTTTTAGTATAAATTATTATATTTCTTTTCATTTATTCAACAACATTTTTTGATGACTGCAGAGTTTTGAGACTCTTCTTGCTATTAGGGCACAAAAGTGAATAGACAGAGCCCTACTTTCTGACTATACAGATAAATTAACAAAGAACAATGAATGTTTTGTTAGGGAAGCTCATAGCACAGACACCAGTCCTAGTCTAGGAAGTCAGGAAAGGCCTCCAAGAGAAAGTGACATTGAAGGTTTGAGGTGGACCTGTTGAAGTGAGGGTAAAGAGACTCCCAGGCAAAGGAAACGGTATGAGAATGTCTGAAAATGCTTGTTGCAGGCATTGAAATGCAAGCAGTGGAATGGCTAGAAATACATTAGAAAGAGAAGCAGGAGCAAATCATGAGGGGGTCTTAGTATTAAGGAGTTTGCATTTTATTCCATGGGAAGTAAAATTGGAGAAGTGACATGCCAGTATAGCATTTTGGAAAGATGTCTGGTGGTTGCAAAGTGATATGGATTAGAAATCAGTTTGGAAGTCAAGAGACCAGTCAGGCTATTAGAATAGGTGACAAATTTATAGTGGTGGCAGAGGAGATTGATGAGATAGATTCAAGAGATAATTTAGGATGTGGAATATACCAGACTTGGTAATTGGAGAGGAAAGAGTCAAGGATGACTTCCAGGGTCCTAGCTTACTGATAGGAGGAACATTAGAGGAGAAACAAATTTGGGAGGCTGGGTGATACAGTTTGGGACATAGGCAGGGAGAGGATCACTGACATGGTTAGAGGGAAGGATTAATTTTATATTTGTGGAAGGAAATCTAATATTTAGGAAGGAGAATAGGATGGGTGTAAGCACTTAAATTTGAAGGTCTGGTGCCAAAAAATTGAGATAAGGGCACCAATTTTCTCTTTGAAGTAAATGACAACACTGCTCAGGGTGACTGGGGAACAGGAGGAGTGTCAACAGTTTTAGGAAAAGTAGAGATGGTTTGAATTAGTCATCATGAAAAATGAGACTGCTTACCAGGGAAAGAGGAAATTATCAGACAATATTAAGGTAAGTCATTGTTGATGTTGGTGACCATGAATGTATAATGGCTCCAATATATAATATGTGATTTCCCCTCCACCCCTAGTAGTCTGAAGACCATTGCAAGAAGCAAACAATTGAATTTGTCCAGAATTGGGGTTTTTAAGTGAGATAGAAGGACTGTTTCTAGGGAAGATTGACTAGTCTTCTTAACATCTTAATCCCATGATTAAACTCCCATGTTGCAATTCTTCTCATCCAGTTTGCTTTAATGCTAGTTTGAGCTCCGTTTCTCATTAAGTGCATTCACAGACTCTCCTGGATTGTTAAATCATGCAGGTGAATCTTCCTGTCTTTTTAAGACTTTTCATTCCACTCCCCTAGACTGAACATCATCTTAGTTTTCTTTCTACTTAGGCTTATTATGCAGTGCCTCCTTTTTCTCCTGTTACACCTGCAGAATTTCTTCCTTATTCCCATTGTAACATGCTCAGCTGCCCTTTATTCTGTTATCTTTTAAACCTAGAAACTTACTTCTAAAGATTCAGTCAAAGATAATTTTGCCATGAAAGTTATATAATTTGAAACAAAGCAGCAGCAAAGGGAGGCTTTTTGGGATTTAACTTTTTGTCTATCCCTTTCATGTCTGAGTTATCTTATCTTTCTTATTTACTCTTTTAGCAGGAATCCTTTTTCTTTTGAAGACACTTCCCTCAGCTCAAAAAATACTTATGCTTGATACTATTAATTGTGTTTTTTAGAGCATATTAAAATGAATCCAAATTTTTAGGTTTGATTCTTGGTGTAGCTAATTTTCCACAGCTCTTTGGCAATAAACTTTTTACCCTTACCCAGCCATCTCTGAAATGTCTGGTATAGGGTCTCAGCAAAAGAATGTGAGTAATTCAGTGTAAACTGCTTACCATTATTAATAAAATAACTCAAAGAAAAGGGCTACTAACCAAATACTAGGCTTTTCATCTTGATATCAAAAACCAGACCATTCTTTCTGTTTGGTTGTTTAATCTTTTTTTTATTACAAAATGTATACAGAAAAGTGCGTAAAATTTTCAGGTTAGTAATCTATCACAATGTAACCACCATCCAGGCCAAGAAACAGAATATTGATTTCACTCCAGAAGCTCCTCTCATGCCACCTCCTAATCACCACCCTTTTCCTAACACCAACCCCGAGGGTAGCCAATATCCTGATTTATGGTAGTCACTTTCTGGCTTCTTTCTAGATCTTTGCCATCTAAGCATGTGTTTCTGAATGCTGTAGTTTAGTTTTGCCTATTTTGAGGGCTTTATATAAATGAACTTTTCAGTATATGCTTTTTGTGTCTGTTTTCTCTTAAAATTTTGTTTGTGAGATTCAACCCTGTTGTTAGTGTAACTGCTTTATTCATTTTCATTGCTTTATAGTAGTCCATGGTATAAATATACCACAATGTATCCTTTCTACTATTCATGGATATTTTAGTATGCAGTTTGGGGCTTTTACACATAAAATTGCTGTGAATATTTTTGCATGTGTTTCTTGTTCATGTGCAGGCGTTTCTGTTAGGTTTATATATAGAGGTGGAATTACTAAATCTAGGATATGCATATTTTCAACTTCAGTAGATAATGCCAAATTGTTTTCCAAAGTTGTACCAATTTAAATTCCCACCATCAGTCTGAGAATTCCTGTTGGTCCACATCTTTGCCACCCTCTGGCATTAATCTTGGCATTCTAGTGAGAGTATGGCAATATCTCATTGTGATTTATATATTTTTTTCTGATTACTTACAAGGTTGAGCATCTTTATATATGTTTATTAGTTATATCTCTGTGGCTTATCTTCTCACTTTAATCTTCTTTGAAAAGAAGTTACTAATTTAATGTAATCCATGTTTTTTCTTTTTATGGTTAGTACTTTCTGTGTCCTATTTAAATATTTCCTTATGCCAAGGTTATAAATGGTTCTCCTATATTGTCTTCTAGAGACTTTGTTGTTTTACCCTTCACATTTATATCTATAATCCATCTGAAATTGATTTTTATATATGTGGTGTGAGGTAGGGGTTAAGTTTTATTTTGTTTTTATGTGAGTATCCAGTCAAGACGGCACCATTTATTAGAAAGATTGTCCCTTTGCCACTGCTCTGCAGAGCCAATTTATCAAAAATACATAAGCATAGACAAAAAATAATTATACATATGTATTTATGTTGATACATAACTGTGATATGACTATGTAATGATGACCGTATAGATACACACATGAATCTATTTATAGACTTGATTCTATTCAAGTGGTCTATCCTTATACAAGTATCATAGTGTTTTAATTGTTACAGCCTTATAGTAAGTGTTGATTTCCAGAAAGCAAGCCTTTCCACCTTGTTTTTCTTCAAGATTATCTTTATCATACTTGGCTCTTTATGCATTTTAAAATCAAATGGACAGCCAACCAATTAGGCATTCAGAAGCAGCAATAGCTATAGTGGCCTTGGCAAATGGAGTTTATTACATAGCCTTCATTTCTGCCACTGTGGTCACTCTGTTCATGTGCCCTTGGCAAGTTTACTTGGCCTTAACATTGCAAATGGGCTTCAACTGAGCATTTAAATGTCACTAGAACTCTCTAATGAACAGATCTTCAGTAAGCTTCTCAGCTGTATCTGCTCTTTCAGAGCAAGAAATAAGGGCCTAATTGTAAGCTACCAAACTAAGCTTTTACACTTAGACTGTAACTGCTTGTTAACAGCCCTCACTTTGTCATTATTCCTCTGCAGAGCATCATAGCAACTTAGCAATAACCAGCCTACTGTCCTTGAAGTCAGTTTTCTCCATTTCATTCAAATGCCTGAATCGTTGCACATGCAAGGGAATTCTCTTTTCCAGGATGTTTTCCCTGGTTATCATTGGTGAAGTCTTCAGTACTTTGGCCACTACCTTGTGCCAGGGACTATCCATGCCCAACATACCACTCAGGATGATATTCTCTTTGCCCACCAGGTAATGAGGAAGCCAGTCTAAAACTTTCTCCTAACACGTATGTTTTCAGACTACTTCTGTTACCACCTATATTAGTTTAGGTCCTTGAAGATGCAAATGACAAGACAGGATTAGATATATAAGAGATTTAGTGGCGGCAATCTATGAAGGAAGGAAAAAGGGGAGGGGGGGCCAGAGAAGGCATGTGAAACCA